GATTGTGTGTGTGTGTGTGTGTGTGTGTGTGTGTGCGCGCTTTTTTACAAAACCTTAATATTTTTAAACAAAATATCCTCTAGAGATTTTGTATGGATGTACTTTCTTTAAGACTCTTTGGCTTCAGAGGCTTGGGGAGTAAGATATTACTCGACATAAGGATAGTAGTATCTGAACGTTGAAGTTTATCTAATAATGTTAGGAGGCCCTAGGGCTTTATGCTCTGGAAAGCCTTGGTGTTTGAGTTGGTTGTGGGTAATTGAAATGAAACACTATCAGGGAAATATAAATGATAAAATGTTGAGTGTACTCATATAGATGTACAGAAGGAAGTGGCGTAAATAACTCTTGGTTATGAGGCCAAAGATGTATGTATATGATCTAACCTACTTTTTATCAATCCCATTATTTGCTCGCTCATGCCCATTTTATTATAAGTGGCATAGTAGCAACCCTATACACCTCTACCCTGATATAATGCGACCCGATATAACATGAATTCGGATATAACGCAGTAAAGCAGCGCCCTGGGGGGCGTGGGGCTGCACACTCCGGCAGATCAAAGCAAGTTCGATATAACGCGGTTTCACCTATAACGCGGTAAGATTTTTTTGGCTCCCGAGGGCAGCGTTATATTGGGGTAGAGGTGTATTTAGATTGCCTAACACTTTCTATTGTTTATAGTTTTTCTAGACATCTTTTTGAGGAGCTCAAAACCCAGTATGGTTTGTTAGTAAATGTATTATATCACCACTCAATAAACAGTGCATGATCCTCATGCTGCTAAGAGACCAAAATAAAGCACACACTTAACTTCAAATTTGGGATGTTGGCAAGGAGTAGAATAAATAATCTAGATATAAGATCTGCTATACATACATACATACATACATACATTTTTTTTAATCTACTGTAAAACACGGTGAAATAGCTCAATAAAAACTGGCACTAAATTGATTTTTACATTTGTGTATTTTAAATGTTATTGTTAAAAATTCTGTATGTGCTATTCTTTTGCTAGCATAGCTGTAGAATGATAAAGTCGTCTGGGCTAGTAAAGTATAGAGAGGTAAACTTAGTATTCTTCATATCATTTTCAGCTGAATGCATTCTTACCCAAGCAAAGGAAGGGGAAAAAAAAGGTAAACTGCCAATAATCCAAAATAAGGAACACTCTTCCCATAAACTCCAAATTAATACCAGAATATTGATGGTAGTTATAAATTGATAGATATATCCAAGAGAAATGCAATTGGACTAATGCTACTTTTACTTCTATCAGAAAAGTTGTTTATCAATAAGTTAGCTGAAATTTCTCATGGTACCATATTTCTAGGTCACAGGCAAGAAGTGCTGGCAGTGGCCTGGTCCCCGCGTCATGAGTATGTCTTGGCAACTGCAAGGTAAAAACTATTTCTGTAATATAAATAAGCAGTAAAATGGCTTATAGAAAGCATTGTAAACTGACTTATTTAGAAAAAATATTTTGATACACGACATCCATAAAGTTTAATATGCATTTGAGGTGAAGGTCAGCATTAGTATTTATACTACCATGATACTGTAGATTCTAGATGGAAAAAATTGGATTGAAGAGCTATCCAAATGGTGCACACAGGGTTGGTCTACACCAGATGTGCGCAAACTACGGTGGGACCATCCTGCCCTGCCCCTGAGCTCCTGGCCGGGGAGCCTAGTCCCTGGCCCCTCCTCTGCTGTCACCCCTCCCCCGCAGCCACTCCATTGCACGGGCCGCACTCTGGCCCGCTGCTCCCGCTGGGCAGCGTGGGGAGCGCAGCTGGCTCTGGTAAGGGGGCGGGGAGTGGGGGGTCAGTCAGGGAGGAGGGGACGGTTGGATGGGGCGGAGGTTCTGGGGGGGGTGGTCAGGGGATGGGGAACAGGGAGGGTTGGGAGTGGGAGTCCCAGGAGGCCCGTCAGGGGGTGGGGATGTAGATAGGGGTCGGGAGGGCAGCCAGGGGACAGGGAGCAGGGGGGTCGGATGGGGACGGGGGTCCCGGGAGGCGGCGGTCAGGGGACAAGGAGCAGGGGGGGTTGGATGGGTTGGGAGTTCTGAGGGGGGCAGTCAAGGGGGCAGGAAGTGGGAGACGGCGGATAGGGGACGGGGGCCAGGCTGTTTGGGGAGGCACAGCCTTCCCTACCCGGCCCTCCATACAGTTGTGCAACCCCGATGTGGCCCTTGGGCCAAAAAGTTTGCCCACACCGGTCTACACTTAAGTTATGTCAACATAGCTATGTTGGTCAGGGTGTGAAAAATAAACACCTTTGACTGACATAGCTCTGCCAAGAAAATCCCCAGTGTAGACGCAGCTACATCAATGTAGCTAATGTAATTCGGGAAGTGGTCTTAAATCAGCAGAAAATCACCTTTCGGTTTAGGCTGCATCTGTGCTAGAGAGCTGTTCTAGCCATAGTGTAGCTATATCCTAAGATTATAGGTTGAGTTTGTGCATGGGTGGCACATATAAGACACATGGGTTTGGTGGATGATGCAGAAGATGAGGTCATGGCACACGGATATAAGGGATTCATCTCTTTCTTCTCCCAGCCAATTATCTATGCAGATGGTAAAGTCCAGAAAAAGTCTAGACCTATAGGTATCTCAGACCAGTTGATCTTTGATTTCTTCCTGCAACCCCCGCCAGAATTGATACTAACGTGTCTCCTGTCAGCAGGCTGATAACTAAGGCCACCTTGGCCTGGTTAGAGACATAGATTTGGGGATGTATCTGAAACAGAAGCCGGCATTGGCTCATGAAACTTTGGAACTGCTGTCAGTTCCCATCTAACTGTTCGGGCAAAGGTATTGCAGGTCCGTGTTCAGGACAAGGCCCTGCAGATAGTGTTCACAGAGTGGTATTGTTAGTGCTGAGCAGCCTAGCTTGATCCTGCAGCCACTGGTTATCTCTTGTCAGCTGTGCAACTTGGGGCTGCCATGCTTGATTATCCACCTGAATTATCCATTTGGGCAAGTCCGATGCTTCTGGTGGCTATGGTGGTGGTGGTGCCAGGTCCATCCTTCTTGCACTGGGCTTGGTCCCACAGGGTCGTGGGTGGCCAGACTAATAGTTGGAGCCAGAATCCACAGCCACAACACAGGAGTCAAAAGTTAGCTAGGTCAGGATACTGAGAGGTCAGAAGCAGGAGCCAAACTGTAGGTCAGGAATCACAAGTCAGATGCCAGGAGTCAAGCTGCGACGGGATGCCAGGAAATCAGGCCAGGGGAGAAGGAAGCACAAGGCATTCAGTGCAGCAACATTTTTCTATAACAAATGTATTATTTTCATATCTCCAATATCATTTGTTACATCAGTAAATAATGACAGAATTTTTGAAAATATTTTTTAATAGTAGATCTACTCTTTTGCAGAAATCTAATTCACTGTGGCTCTTTTAATGTAAAAAATCATTGAGGCTTGAGAGAGGCTTTGAGGTCTTCATTCTCAAAAAAATTAGAACTGAGTGTTGCTACCTCATTCTTTTCTTACCCTTCTACATCCTGTAACTCTCCTGTAATCCATAATTTGAATTGTTATGCATTTTTAGACAATGGGTAAAATTTTCAAAATGTCTTACGTCATTTAGGCAATGCTGAAAATTCCTGCAAAGTTTGAGACTCTCAAAGTAAAGGTTTTCTCAGTACTTAAAATTAACGTAAAGTGCCTTCCATAACAGAAATGGGGAAAACACTAAGGAGAGTGTGTTGCAGAATGTGACACATTACTCTAAAGAACATGAATATTCCTATTGCTGTAATTTGAAATCCTCCTCTGTGGTTGAGTACATTTTTGCAGTTTAGATATTTTGGTTAGAGGTGAAACATTGTCATCTAAAGATGAGAAATGTTTGTCATCAAACCCATTTTCAATCAGAAGTTTTAGTCAGGAAAAGATCTGTCATCCAAAGCTTTAGATGACAAAATGTTAATAGAATTTTAGTCCAATAACACTTTAGATGACCCAGCATTTCATCTCTAAAACTGCAGATGTGACTAACAGGTTTAACATGAAAATTGTTTGTCATCTAAAGGTCAAAAGTTTTGCAGTCAGCAGTTTTAGATGCCAGTCACTTTTTTGTCAGCAAACTCATTTTCACTGGCATCTCTGATATACAGCTATCACCTAACTCAGAGAAATATATGTACCTAACTCTGATTATGAAAAACCTATGACAACAATCACAACAATGATCCATTGTTAATAATTTTCTTCTTTTTACCACAAAACAGTGTTCACATTTAAGTGGCTGAAAAATTGAGGTAATTTTTGATTGTTAGAACCATAGATTGAGTCTTTGCCATACAATATTAATAATTCTAATCTTATTCTGAAATATTCTACACAGTTTCATTAATTCAGAAAAATTCCAGTCAATGTGTCCATCAACCAAAATTTTATGGGAGAGGTTCAGAATATGCCTCTTAATGGAACGTTTGCAGCAATCTTATTTGTGGCATTGGAATCAGCTGAAGTCCAAAAAAGAGGGACATGCTCCCTCTTCTTCTCTTATTATCTTCTGCTCTCCATTTGCTCTTCTTCTGATTCATCTGTACATAAATGTTTCCCAAAATTCAGTCAGTTGTGCCATCTGACTCAATTACAACTACTTTAAATTCATCAAAATAAAAAACAGCAAACTAAACTAACAACAAAATTAATCAATTTAGCATAGTGAGAGGTTCTTTCTTACAAGCTACATCCAGCACACTTATTCTTAGTATTATTCTGAACCAATGCTAGCTGCAGTTGCTTCCAAGTAACAAGTCTCTTTGAACTCTGCATTTAAGAATTTAAGGTACAATAGTCAGTCACCAGCATTCTTAAAGCACCATAAACCACAATAATAGATACTAGAAGTGCAAACCAAGCATAAAGAAATAAGAAAGAGACACACAAATGATCGTCTTCTAGTAACAATAGTTCAGAGTCAGCGTCAGAAGAAAAAGGGAAACCATGATAATCTGAACTGGCTGCCTTATAGAAAGAAATCTAGAACTGAATATGTTCTCCATATTTGAGAGACAATTTACAAAACTTCATGTAGATATCAGCAAACCCTCACAAGAGAAGAGTATTGTAGATGTATAGAATGTGGTAAAAGTTTCACTCAGAAGTATTTTGAAATACACCAGCCAATCCACAAGAGGAAGGGAATATAATCTGATTTTTATATGGTTTGGGTATAAAATGTTATCTCATATTGCTCTGTTAGATGATGATATATACTGATGATGCACTGACAGCAAACTGGAGGAGCTATTATCTTCTTAATAATAGATGGCTTGTAGATTTGGACAATATAATATGATTTACTGAGAAAAGAAATATTAGCCAGGACACTGGGATTATCTCTTACAGCAGTATGTGAAATTGTTACTAGCTTTGAGCTTGCTGGGTGACTGACCAGGATTCCCTGATGATGTTTCAAAATAATAGAATACCAATTGTAAAGTAACTGCATATAGAAAAATTATTAGTTAAAAACAAATAGTGGACATGATCAAGTGTCCAACTGTTGTAGGAAGTAGCCAAAGAGGAGACATGTTCTATGGGTTTTTCCTAAACTGTCCACTTTGTCACTCAACAGAGGGGATTATGAGGTCTTTCATGCAAGGAGGAGCAGATTTAGAAAGATGAGCTAATGGAAAATGTATCATCAAACAAAAAAAGATAAAGTTGTTTTCACAGAAAATCTCCCTACCATCTTTCATTGTTGTGGATGCTTCATTGATCTCCCTGAGGTTTGCAGCTTATTTTATATCCACTAATGCAGCCTCAAGAAGATACCTCTGCTCTTGGAATACTTGCTTGTAGGCCAAACATCATGTCACCACTTATGTTCAGACCCCCCAAATATTTAGTGGGAAAGTTGTTTAGAGGGCAGTTGAATAAGATTATAGCAAGGGCTGCAAAAGAAGCAAAATTAGCCGCAACCTGTGACAGATGTGGAGCTGATGTTATGAATGCTGCTATGTCATAACTGTATTAAAACAAAATGTGACCTAGTCAATGAGGGGAAGTTACTGTATATTGGACTTACTGGACATTTTGTGTGTTGCTGTATTACCTTTCTAGCAGATATCTGGCTAGTTAAAGTCCCCCAGTACTACAAGGTCTTGTGTTTTGGATGTTTCTATTGTTTGTTCCAGAAATGGCGCCGCCGCCTCCTCCTCATGTTTTTTTTCCCCCCTTTATCTTCACCCAGAGACTTTCAGCTGGTCTGCCTCTCACCTCCTTCTGGATCTCTAAACAGGTATATGCATTCTTGATATACAAATGCAACTCTACCACCCTTTTTCCCATGTCTGTCCTTCCTGAAAAGCTATACCTGTCTAGTCCAATATTCCAGTCATGAGGTGTATCCCACCAAGTCTCTGTAATGCCCATTAACTCAGAATTTAGAATGTGTACTAAAACTTCCAGGTCTTCCTGTTTTGGTTTTTTGACATTGTAGGAACCTATGGGCCTAGAATAAGGGTCTGCAGGGTTTGAATCAGGTGATGCTTCTTCATCACCACCAGGGGCCCAGGCAGGGCTGCCACCAAGAGGGACTGAGAGGCTTAGCTCTGGGGGATGTCCCACCTAGGGGGCATGAGCAACAGCCCTGCGTGATTCCCTGATTATCTGGTGTTCTCCATCTAAACCAGAAAGCCATTTCTGGCCATTGTCTGAACAATGCAGACCTCCAGTGTGCTTCTGCCTTAGACCCAGCTTGCCACTCTTTGGTGCGACTCACCTTGATTCTACACTTACGACTCTCGACGTAGGCTTGGCTCCTGACCCTGATCCTGGTCACTGTGTCCAGCTTAAGACCACTGCTGACCTTCATGAAAGATCCTGACCTGGCCCAACCCCAATTGTCATCTCTCTCTCTCAGTTTGGTAAGGGACTCTGACTGTAGTTTTAACCTGGCCTGGTCCTGCATTGTTGTCTGACCTTTGGCCCCAATATGGTGCAGCTCATTCCGTGCTCATAGGCTGTCCAGAACTTGGCCTCAATTCCCATTCTCCTTGAATTTATGTATAAATATCTAAGATGTCAAGCAGATTCCCCTAGTGTTTTCCCTCTTGTTGCTCCTATGATTCTGGTCTAATTTTCCATATCCTCTGCAACTTCCAGCCCTGTGTCAAGGTCAAATTTTTTTGATTCTTACCTGTGGGCTTTTGTCTTGCCCTCTTTGAACATGGCTTAAAGCCCTCCTCATGAGGTTGGTGAATTGGTACCCCAAGAATGTACTTCTTGGGACAGTGGGAAGAATCTAGAGGAAGGCAACACAATATTCCCAAATAAGCAACCTCCCAGCAAACATTCAGAGTTGTTATAAGACAATGACATCCTTCAAGGCTCTAGATCGAAATGACACAGCTGTTTTGTCGGGGTTGGAGGCTAGAGAGTAAAAGGGCTATAACACGGAAAAAATTATTTGATTTTTGCAAAAGGGATTGAGTTGCTAGGGACTGTCCAGGATGCTGTCAATGAACTCTGACAGCGAGACAGGCTTGCACAGAGGGGCTCTGCAGAAGAGTCTATAGGAAGTTAGTTGCCAGGGGCTAGGTACCTGGTAAGCTTGCATGCTGATAGGGCTGCTTTATTCTTTATTGTTTTTAAGCTATTTTGTCTTTGAAATTTCATAGAATCATAGACTTTAAGGTCAGAAGGGACCATTATGATTGTCTAGTCTGACCTGCACAACACAGGCCACAGAATCTCATCCACCCACTCCTGTATCAAACCCCTAACCTATGTCTGAGCTATTGAAGTCCTCAAATCCTGATTTAAAGACTTCAAGGTGCAGAGAATCCTCTAGCAAGTTACCCTTGCCCCGTGCTGCAGAGGAAGGCGAAAAAACCCCAGGGCCTCTGCCAATCTGCCCTGGAGGAAAATTCCTTCCCGACCCCAAATATGACGATCAGCTGAACCCTGAACATGTGGGCAAGACTCACCAGCCAGACACCCAGGAAAGAATTCTCTGTAGTAACTCAGATCCCACCCGGTCTAACATCCCATCACAGGCCATTGGGCATATTTACCGCTAATAGTCAAAGATCGATTAATTGCCAAAATTAGTCTATCCCATCTTACCATCCCCTCCATAAACTTCCCAAGCTCAGTCTTGAAGCCAGATACGTCTTTTGCCCCCACTGACCCCCTTGAAATGCTTTTGTTCTAAATGATACTTTGCTTTAAAAAGACTTTCTGACTTCTGTGGATACTCTGCCTCCAACTTCATGCCCCCGAGTGTTCAGGCATGGTGCCATGGGCAAACCCTGCCTTAATTTCCCCTCAGCTGGGTATACCAGCCAGTCCAAATAGCTCTTTTGCATATCAAAGAGCACCCCCTTCAGAAAGCCTCATTTACTGACAACAGGAAATTACAGTAACATAAGCAAGACTTTATTCAGGCACCTTCAAGGTATCTGCTGTACTGGGGTCAGTCCAACTAGCTTTGGGGAGAACAGCCTCTGGATTTCTCCTTCAGGATACCTGTTCGCTTCATCCGGGGAACAGTCTCTGGCTCCTTCTCCCAGAATACTTTTTTTTTTTTCCCCCTCCTGGAACAGTCTCAGATCCCTTCCCTCAGGGTCCTGCTGCTCCCTCAATTGGGGGAACAGTTTCTCTTCTGGAGCTCTCCCAGTTCTTTCCCCTGGGATACTCCTGTTCCGTTTTGGGGGATGATTTCCCTTTGGGGTTGCCTTCCTCTTACAAGCTTCTTCTCCCTAGAGACACCTTCTTCCAGAGAGCATTCCCTCTGACTCAGCTCATTTTTATAGGATGTGGGGCTTCTTTACTAATTGACCATTAACCAGTTACCTGAGGCAAGCAGTTACTCCCAGGTAGGTCCTCAGAGGGCTGACATGGGCAAGCTAGGCCCTGACTCTCTCTCCTTTAAGAGCCAGTTGCCCCATGACCGCCTCTGATTACCACTGACATTGCCCTGGAGGGTCTAAGACTAAGTCATACCAGCTGAGGCAATCACTGTTAGTCCCAAGGGACTGTTGCCCAGGTTCTGCTCAGAGAATGGGAGAATCACAGGTGATGGTTAGAGGCCTGAGACCTGAAGGTGGCAAGGGGTGTGGAGGGTGAAAGAGGTCAGAGGTGCAGTTCACACAGTGACGCTGCTTTCTCTACGCAAAAGAATAAATGGACACAAATCTGACATCAGGAATCATAACATTTAAAAACCAGTAAGAGAACACTTCAACCTCTCTGGCCACTCAATAACAGATTTAAAGGTGGCAATTTTGCAACAAAAAGCTTCAAAAACAGACTCCAGCAAGAAACTGCTGAACTTGAATTAATATGCAAACTAGATACTATCAATTTAGGCTTAAATAGAGACTGGGAATGGCTGAGCCATTACACACATTGAATCTATTTCCCCATGTTAAGTATCCTCACACCTTCTTGTCAAACTGTCTTAAATGGGCTATCTTGATTATCACTACAAAAGTTTTTTTTCTCCTGCTGACAATAGGTCATCTTAATTAATTAGCCTCTTAGAGTTGGTAGGGCAACTCCCACCTTTTCATGTTCTCTATATGCATATATATCTCCTCACTATATGTTCCATTCTATGCATCCGATGAAGTGGGCTATAGCCCATGAAAGCTTATGCTCAAATAAATTTTAGTCTCTAAGGTGCCACAAGTACTCCTGTTCTTTTTGCGGATACAGACTAACACGGCTGCTACAATGAAACCTGCTTTCACACAGTACAAGCAGAGAAAGGTTTTCAGATTCTCACAGAAACACTAGATTCTGTAGATTTCATTGATGAAGGAAAGGTACTGGACAGAACATAACAGATTCAAAAGAGGAAGAATGTCCCTTGTCAGAGACTTGTTGCAAAGCTTTAAGCTTCTGCTGACAGATGTAAGGACATGACCAGGAAGTATGGGGTGCTGGGTGTATGTAATTTACCAGGGATACTCCATAGCACTGAATCAACTTTCTGGACCCAAGTTCGTGTCGTAACAGAAAAAACAGAATCGGACGGAGACAGTATATCATCTCTGACAGATTGCAGCAATAAAGAAGGTTCCTTTCTAAGGATGAGTATAGTTCACAATACTTGCTATTTTTATCATCACAAAGAGATCTGGAGGGATTGTGTCACTCTTGACCCTCAGGACTCAGTATGAACCCTAACTGTACTAGCAATAATACCATGAATGCAAAATTTTGAATGAAACAAAGTTAGACTTTGACAGCAATCTCCTCCTAGGACTTTGTGATATATCTGATTCTGAAAGAAGTTTACTTAGTTATTCTTAAGAGGGAGACAGTATGAAGTTCCACCATTTTTTTTTTCTTTTTCTTACAACATTCACTTTTTTGGGGGGTCTAGCAACCAACCTATGCTAGCCCTTAATGCTTTAAGCAGAGAAACCATTATTATTGTTGTTACTTATTATGTAATTAGATTATGTGGTACTTCACAGGACACAGATTAATGGTGTTAAATTTGCAAATGAATTTTAGTTCTGCTGTTTCTCTTTGAAGTCTGTTTCTGAAGTTTTTTTGTTCAATGATAGTAACTTTTAAATCTGTAATAGAATGACCAGGGAGATTGAAGTGTTCACTTACTGGCTTATGTATGTTACCATTCCTGATGTCCGATTTGTGTCCATTTATTCTTTTGCGGAGGGACTATCCGGTTTGGCCAATGTACATGGCAGAGGAGCATTGCTGGCACATGATGGCATATATAACATTAGTAGATGTGCAGGTGAATGAGCCCTTGATGGTGTGGCTGATGTGGTTGGGTCCTCTCATGGTGTCGCCAGAGTAGATATAGGGACAGAGTGGTGTCCCTGTTCTGACTATTATCAAT